ATACAAACCACTCTCCACAGTATACAAACCACTCTCCACAGTATACAAACCACTCTCCACAGTATACAAACCACTCCAAGTACAAACCACTCCGAGGAACTACTAGTTTTCTAACTCCTACTTGAAAGAGTCTACTTCATAGAGGCTGCTTTCAAATAATGTGAGCAAGCTCAGTGAGTTAGGGGTGTGCCTTTATGGGGATACAAATCCCACACAGGTGCAATTAATGAACACTCCCCCAATCAATCAAGCAGCAGCACACAAAAAAGGGGGGAAAACCAGAACACAAAAAAAAAAAAAGTAAATTTAAAAAAAATTTTTTTTTTCTTTTTTAAACCTTACCAATTTAAAGATTAAACAAAAATAAAATACAAACCACTCTCCACAGTATACAAACCACTCCAAGTAACTCCTGGTTTTCTAACTCCTACTTGAAAGAGTCTACTTAATAGAGGCTGCTTTCAAATAATGTGAGCAAGCTCAGTGAGTTAGGGGTGTGCCTTTATGGGGATACAAATCCCACACAGGTGTAATTAATAAACACTCCCCCAATCAATCAAGCAGCAGCACACAAAAAAGGGGGGGAAACCAGAACACAGAAAAAAAAAAGAAAATTTAAAAAAACAAAAATAAAAAACAAACCACTCTCCACAGTATACAAACCACTCCAAGTAACTCCTGGTTTTCTAACTCCTACTTGAAAGAGTCTACTTAATAGAGGCTGCTTTCAAATAATGTGAGCAAGCTCAGTGAGTTAGGGGTGTGCCTTTATGGGGATACAAATCCCACACAGGTGTAATTAATAAACACTCCCCCAATCAATCAAGCAGCAGCACACAAAAAAGGGGGGGAAAACCAGAACACAATAAAAAAAAAAGTTAATTTAAAAAAACAAAAATAAAAAACAAACCACTCTCCACAGTATACAAACCACTCTCCACAGTATACAAACCACTCCAAGTAACTCCTGGTTTTCTAACTCCTACTTGAAAGAGTCTACTTAATGTCTACTATAGACATTGTTCTTATGCTAGAATAGATATGTTGTTAGGAAATATAGCATTGGTGAGCTCCATTAAAAAAGTATTAATTAAATCAATAATATGGTCTGATCATAACGCGTTAGTTTGGGAAATACATCATAAACAGAAACAAATCTTGAGACAGTGGAGATTAAATGAATCTTTGTTAAGAAGCGATGAAAATATAGAGTATATTGCTAAAATGTCAGATTTCTATTTTGCAGAGAATAAAGACTCGCCTCCTGGGAGTAGGTGGTTAGCATATAAGGCCGTTATTAGAGGCCATTTTATTAAGTTAGGGGCATATGAGAACAAGAAAAGAAGGAATAATTCTGTGGATATGTATATTTCTCATTATAAGTTAGAAAAGAGTAATAAAGAAATTCCAACAAAAGTAAAGGCAGAACAAATCCGAATAATTAAAAATAATCTTAACGCAATAAATATGGAGCAGATTGCTAATAATATTGAGAAATTACAACAAAAATGGTATAAGAAAAGAAACCGTATAGATAGAATGCTGACAAATAAACTAAAGAAACAGCAAGCTTTGAATCGGATTGACAAAATAATACATAACGATAAAATATTTAGAAACCCTAATGATATAGGCCGGCTATTTAATAAATATTATAAGGCATTATATAATAGTGCGGATAATACTAAATTAGGGAAATTGGCAGATTTTATTAAGGGTCTTAATATACCTACTATTAATAAACAACAACAGGAATTAGCAGATAAACCTATTGAGGTATCAGAGGTCATAGCAGCTATTGATGTTTTTAAAAAAAAAAAAGCCCCAGGACCCGACGGGTTTAGGGAATCTTTTTATAAAATCTTTAAGAATAGAATTGCAATAGAACTGACCTCAACTTTTAATAATTTCATAAGAATGGCCAAATGTCCAGCAGAATTTCTTGCGGCTAATATTCTTCCTATCCCTAAACTAAATAAAGATCCTTCACTTGTAAAAAATTATAGGCCCATATCTTTAATTAATACTGATACCAAGCTTTTTTCATCTATTATTGCTGCTAGACTTAAAAAAGTTGTTGAATTAGTTGTTTCTAAAGATCAAGTGGGATTTGTCCCTGGACGCAGCTCAGTAAACAATATTAGGAAAGTAGTTGATATCCTGGATTTGGCTAAAAAAGAACATAAAGAACTGGCTATCATTGCATTAGATGCAGAAAAAGCCTTTGATCGGGTGGAGTGGGGCTTTATGATGCAGGTTTTAAAAATATACGGTTTTGGAGAACAGTTGTGCAATGCAGTTAAAGCTTTATATAGTTCCCCTATGGCTAGAACTATTGGTCAACATATATGTGCTGATTGGTTTCCCCTTGGAAATGGGACCAGACAAGGATGCCCATTGTCACCCTTGCTTTATATATTAACAATAGAAATATTAGCTATTAAGATAAGAGAAAGTAATAATATACAAGGGAGAATTTAAGATCAGTATGTATGCAGACGACATATTGGTGACACTTACGGATCCGTATAAATCCCTCCATGCTTTAATGGAGGTAATTAATGCCTATTCAGTATTTTCTAATTATAAATTAAATACAGATAAAACGGTGATTATGTGTATTAATCTAGAGGATACATTTAAAGCAGATATGCAATTAAAATATGACTTTATGTGGACAGAGTCTGAATTTAACTATTTGGGAATTAAAATTACACCGAATGTTAATAATATAATGGAAATAAATGTTATGGCCGTACTGAAGGAGAGGAATTATACTCTTAAAGGATGGAAAAACATGTTTATATCTTGGATTGGTAGGATTAATGTGATAAAGGCCTACATTATTCCTAAATGGCTATATTTATTTAGACATCTTCCTATTCAAATACCAGATAGTTGGTTAAATATGGCTCAGACGAGTATTTGTAAATTTATTTGGCATGGTAAAAAACCACGAATTAATAAACGACATATGGCATATAAAGTAAAAGAAGGGGGTTTGGGGATGCCTATTTTAAAAAATTTTTACCATGCAAATATGATTAGCCATATTTATTTGATGCAAATTCCAGAGGCTGTGGAGGAAAGCTGGTATCATATAGAGAGTCAGCAAACCCAAATAAAAGATCTTTCTTGTTTATTGTGGAATATTCAGTATCCTAACTGGAGAGAAATAGCGGAGAACTGTTTTACTATTGGACATCTTGGGAAATTTTGGTTTATGTTTAAGAATAAGCTGGGTGGGAAGAATAAAATTATTAAAAGTCTTAGTATTAAGCACTTGGAAAATAATATACAAGACCTTTCATTAACTATGTGGAAAAGTAGCGGGATTGAGAGGGTCTCAGATTTATTTAAAGCAGGATCGATGAAAACTTTCCCAAACTTGATTTCAGAATATGATTTGCCGGGTAAAGAGGTGTTTTCATATCTTAGGGTAAAAAGTTTTTTACAAAATTCTCTCTTGATGGGAGAAGATCAGGCAATGAATATTCTAAATAAAATATTTTGTGAACATATAACTCCAAAGGTAATGGCTAAATCATATGCTTTAATATCGTGTCTAGCTGGAGGTATGAGAAATAAGTATATGAATAAATGGTCTGTAATATTACAGATTTGTATTTCTGAGAAAGAGTGGTTAGCGGCAATTAATAGATTCAGCCGGGATATACACTGCTTGAATCTAATGGAGACTCAATATAAAGTGATACATTTTTGGTATTTGGATCCTAAAAAATTTTCTAAGTTCTCATATATGAAAGATAATAAATGTTGGAGGTGCAATCAAGCTGCGGCAGACTACTTACATATGTGGTGGAACTGTGAAATTGCAGCTAATTTATGGGATATGACTTATGAAAAGTTGCAGGCTCTAGGGAAATTTAAAATTGTTAAAAGTATAGAAAATGCAATATTGCATCTTGATTGGCCGGATTTACACCCTAGTCAAGGCTTAATGTTAACCCATTTTTTTTCAGCTACTAAATTATTATTGGCCAGAAGCTGGAAACTGGATGTCCCTGTTAGCTGGCAAATTTAAAAAAAACAAATTGTATTTCAATGTAAAATGGAACTGGGCCTTAAGTGGATCAATAAAAAGGCAGAACAAAATAGTAGGTGGATAGCCGTTTGGATAGATAATTTGATAAAACTTGAGTGAGCTTGGTATTAGTAGTAAGACATACTATAGTCTATAACTTAAAACTCTAATCCAATTCAATTGGTACATATTTTCTTGGTTTCTTCCTTTAAGGATGTAAAAGAATGGGCTTCCTACAAGATGAAATATATTTCTAGACGACTGGGATAATGTATTGTATTTGTATTGTTTTGTCAATGTATAATGTTTATGAATGGAGAGGTTCGTGCTGAGAAATGTGCATGCTAACATATATATTTGAACCGATAGGCGTTAATAATTAATGAACTGTATTTGTGTGTATGTAATGTATTGTGTTTATACAATATTATGAAATACTAATAAAAAGATATTGAAGAAAAAAAAAAAAAAAAGATTGACGCTGCTGTGATTCATATGGCAAAGAAAACTACACTTCCTATTGACTCCATTGCATATCTCAGAAAGCCTATGGAAAAGTGTATGGATGGAGATTTGATTAAAGCCTACTTGGCCCTGGGCTCCACCCTTCATCCGGCAGTGGCACTAACCACTCTCTCCAGAGGCAAATTAACGAGTATGGCTCGTTAATTTGGAGGAGGACATTGATCGGGGTGTCCGTAGGGAACATCTCTTGGAGAGCCTAAGGACTTTAGCCTTGCCACTGAATTCTGTTCGGAAGCCTCCCTAGACATCACTCGCATGATTGCCAAGAGTATGGCCCTGTCTGTGGCCTCTAGAAGGGCTTTATGGCTTCATTCGTGGGGTGCTGACTATGCCTCTAAGGCGTCCTTGTGTGGCCTTCCGTTCCAGGGGGATCTCCTATTTGGTAGGATCCTGGAGGATGCTATTCAAAAAGCTGCCGATGGGAAAAAAGCATTTTTGCCTCAAGTAAGCAGAAAGAGCTTTCCCCCCTCCTGGAAGACTAAGCGCTTCAAGGATCGGTACTTTCGGGGCAGCAGAAGCTATAAACCAGGAAAGGAGTATTCCAGAAATTCTTCATGGAAATCCTTCTCACACTGTTCTTCCAATAAGGCTTCCAGAGGAAGAGTAGCTAGAACGTCTGGGAAGAATTTCTGAAGTTCTTCAGGCACGTTCGGGGACTGTGGGAGGAAGACTGAAGTTCTTCTACCCCGTGTGGGCCAAAAATATTACGGATGTGTGGGTCACATCCATCATAAAGGAAGGTTACAGGATAGAATTTTCCTCTTGCCCAAAATCCGCTTTCTTCAAGAAGTCCAGCATTTCTACTGTCCTGGAACAGAAAGTGGTGGAAGAAGTTCCAAGACAGGAAAGGTTCCTGGGGGTTTACTCCACAGTGTTCTTGTCCCCAAAACCCCAGGGAAAGTGGCGTCTCATCTTGAACTTAAAGGGCATGAACTCCATGCTCTATGTAAGAACATTCAAAATGGAATCTTTACAGACCATCTTGAAGAGCTTCAAAAGAGGAGACTGAATGACCTCCATAGACTTGAGGGACGCCTACTACCAAATCCCTATAAACCAAAATCATATGCAGTTTCTCAGGTTCTGGGTGCAAGGAAGGCACTTTCAGGTCCGGGGACTATCGTTTGGCCTCAGCTTGGCACCAAGAACGTTCTCGAAAGTTCTTGTCACTTTGATAGCCTTCATAAGGGAGAAAGGTATCGAGACCTTCCATTACTTGGACAACATCCTTATCTTAGGTCCATCTCAAAGGATAGTAGCTCATCATATGTCGGTGGCAATGAACATTCTTCAAGACCACGGTTGGCTTCTGAACATAGAGAAAAGCTCCCTGATTCCTTCACAAACTATTGTATTCCTCGGAGCAGTGATAAACACCATATCTGCCCATGTGTGCCTGTCTCTGGAAAGGGTCACAAAAATCAGAGACAAAGTAGGGAAGCTGCAAGGTCTCGAAACTGCCTGGGCAAGAGAAGTCATGAGTCTCCTGGGTTCTTTGACATCAATAATAGGGTTAGTAAAATGGGCCCAGTGGAAGTTTTGTCCGGTCCAGAATTGCTTCCTTCCCCAGTTCGACAGAGTGGGAATAGATTGGGAGCAAAGGATCTCTCTACCCCTGCCCGTGAGCAAAGGGTTGAACTGGTGGAAGAACAAGAAGAATTTGGCAACAAGCTTCCCGTTGGAAGAACCTCCTTGGAAGGTTATTACAACAGATGCCAGTTTTTTTTGGATGGGGTGTCAGCTAGACTCAAATCTAAGAGAACTGAGAGCTGTTTCCAAGGCCATCTTGGTGTTCCTACCAAGGATCTTAATTCTTGGGTACTGATCAAAATGGACAACTGAGCGGTTGCTTCATATGTAAACAACCAAGGTGGCACAAGATTGCTGTTGAAGGAACTAGCTCCCTTGATGACAATTGCCATGACCAATCTCCAGGGTCTGAAGGCGATCTATCTTCCAGGTTTGGTGAACGTGACTGCAGATTTCCTCAGCAGGAAGGAAATTCTTCCGGGAGAATGGAAACTTCACCCGGCAATCTTTACTTGGATTGCCCATCAGTGGGGCATGCCCCAGATCGACCTGATGGCGTCCTCCCAGAATCATCAGGTGGAGAATACTTCTCCCTCCACCCGGACAGTCAGGCAATGGCAATCCACTTTGTTTTTTATGTGAGATTCACATTTACCAAGTGTCTGAAGCAAAGAAGACACAGCATATTTCTGAAAGCACTTCTTGGGATGTTAAAGTGTGAGTGAGCCTTTGTCACTTACCCATATATCCAAACTCAGTATATACAGTATTGCACTATGCCATATATTTTCTGTTTCCCTAGCTTGGAATAGCCCTATACTATATGCATGTTGAATTGAAGATAGGAGGAAATCTTCGGGCATATCCTATATTGCTAAGGGAAGTTATTTCATTTTCTATCACAATCACTTGTTGAATTGTAATTCATACAGCACTGTATGTGAACACTACTTATGAGTGTGTGAGAAATTCTATATATTTTTTTAGTCAGGAAATGGGCCAGAATGCTCTCTTCCTTGGTCATTCGATCTGGGGTATGCGTTCCATCCCCACCAATGATACCCAGGTTCCTGCGGAAGGTTTGGTCGGAAGGAAAGAAGGTTATTAGGCCTCGTAGGCCGTGGTTCCCCCTATTGACTATGATGAGCCAAGAACAGCCTTGGCCTCTTCCTGTTATGGAGGATCTGCTAACGCAGGGTCCAATATTCCATCCTCGTCCGGAACACCTCAAATTGGGGGTATGGGTCTTGAAAAAGAAAGACTTCAACTACTAGGTCTCTCAGAAGCAATGGTCAATACCCTTTTGCAATCAAGGAAAGCTTCTACTTCCTCATGCTACCATAGGATCTGAGATGTGTTCCGGGAATGGGCTTCGGCCAAAAATGTTCACTTCCTGCATCCTCACAATACTGAGATCTTGGAGTTCCTGCAAGAGGGTCTGGATGAGGGCCTTAGCCTCAGCACTCTTAAGGTTCAGTCTTCGGCGATTTCAGCTTTGTGCAGCATCTCATGGACTTCGGATCTCCAGGTTCTTCAAGGCAGCTTTCAGGTTGAGACCTCCTTCCAGATCTACTACCCCTCCTTGGGACCTTCCTCTGGTGCTCAATTACCTAACTGAGGATCTGTTCGTTCCTCTTGAGAGTTTGGATGCTACCCTCCTGACGTATAAAATTTTGTTTTTGGTGGCAATTACTTCCGCAAGAAGAATTTAGGAGATTAAAGCATTGTTTACAATTCTATCAGGATAGGGTGTGTCTGAAACCAAAACCTGAGTTTCTTCCTAAAGTGGTCTCTCAGTTTCATCTCTCTCAAGAAGTGGTCCTTCCATCGTTCTACCCCAATCCTTCTTTGCCAGAGGAGGTTAGATGGCAATGTTTGGATGTCATGAACTGCCTGTCCATGTACCTTAAGTGTTCTGAGTCTTACCGAAAAACTGATCAACTCTTCGTTTTACCGTCGGAAGCCAGGAGAGGTGAGGCGGCTTCTTTATCTACATTAAAACGTTGAATTTCACTGGTAATCAGGAAAGCATATATCTCTAAAGATTGATCTCCCCCAATGAAGATAAGAACTAATTCTACTAGAGCATTGTCGATTTCATGGGCTAATTGGGCAGAGGTTCCATACGATGATATTTGCAAGGCAGTCACCTGGTCTTCCCCGATGACGTTCTTGAAACACTACAAACTGGATGTGGACTCTCCTTCAACCTGTCTACGGTTTCTTTATCCCGGTGATATTAAATTTCTTTGCAGCATAAGAGTCAGTTTAGTGTTTTTTTCTCGGTTTATTATTCCCACCCTATAATTCTGTGAGCTTGGGTATTACCCATAAGTGATGCTGCCATGATTAGCCAGGAATAGAGAAAATTTATAACAATCTTACTGTAATTTTCTTTTCCTGGCTATTTCTCATGGCAGCATCAGGGTTCCCTCCCATTCTAATTTTCAGCTTTATAATTGGACTGAAGTGTAAGGGAAGGAGGGACTCTTTATACCCATCAGTCTAATTAATTAATCTAATTAATTCCTGTCCTGTGACTGCTAAGGGAGGAGCTACCCATAAGTGATGCCGCCATGAGAGATAGCCAGGAAAAGAAAATTACGGTAAGTTTGTTATAAATTTTCTCTATTCCTGGCTAATCATCAATTTTTAGTGGCACATCCCCAGTGAAGTCTAAAAGACACTATTCTGAAACAATTTTACGCCTCTAGGGGGCAGAATATTACTGATAAACTACAAGATGTGGCAAAAGAAAATTGTACTTAAAATTAAGTTAGAATTCATTTCAGCAGTGACGGACCATTTTACTGCCAAAGACTAGCAATGCAATGTGGCTGTGATATGTCATTGCAGAAGATACACACTATTGTAAAATCAATAGGATGGAATGTTAAGATATGAAGCTATATGTGTCAAGAGTACTAGTCTCTTCAAGAATGATATGGATTAAGTAACATAGAAATTAGGTTAGAGAGATAGATATAGAGTCTGTGGCAGTGAAACCATACACAATGCACTGTGCATCCTAACTAAGGCACATTCTATAGAGTATTCATATTTTTAAAAAATATATATTTATTAGTCTTTCTCAGTATAAAACCTGAAGCCCTAAATTTACCATGCTTCTAAAATAAACAAAAAAGCACCAGAATGTATGTGTGTAATTAATCTATCATAAGTGTGTGTACATGCTAAAACTGTGTTTATTGTGTAGGGCATCCGTTATTTTATATCATTTCTGCCATTTCAGAGAGAAGCAGGTTTTAGTGAGGGTACAATGGAGACTGGTGCTAATAAATGTTCTGTGAATATAACACTATACAATATCTCAGATGGGATTTATTATACCTGACTAGGTAATTATTACACCTGACTAGATTTTACTGTGTGTCTCCTATTTTGCTATAAAATGTGGAACTCACTTTAACAGGTTAATGTATTGAAATATCATGGTGGGTTATTTGGAAGGCTTGACATATAGCTGAATTGCTATAAAACATTAGCTGAAACCAAGGACTGTATTCAATAAACAATGTTTCGAATTAAATCTGAGGCATTGGTAGTCATTGTATAGCAACTATGACTATAGATGAGTTGGACAGTTTATCCAAATGATCTGATCTAGTTTATATTTTGCCATTCGGATTTTAATTCGTTATACTTCTAAATTTAGTAAATAACACAGACAGTTTAGCTATTGGTTTTCAATTGACTGCAATCCTTTGTTTAGTAAATAAAACGTTATCTTTGTATCCAAAGTTTATTTGGGAAAAAAAACGTTTAGTGTTTGTTTAGATCCATTGACCCCTGACATTTGTTAGATCAGCTATGATTCCAATGATATATACATACACAACTTAGACACGAGCTGGAATTGTCCCTCGATTCGCCTATTAGAGCAAGAAATCTTATATTTACTGTGCATTACTCATGTGAAATATAGTCATCTTGTAACATGACAGCACTGGTAAGCAGAGATACAGTAAGGATTATTTAAGTGTTTTGTTAACTCCCACTACACCACTACCTCAAGAGAGATCCCCCCCCCCCAATTGATATTATTTTTATTTACCACTATATATTTAATGTATTCACTGTTCACATAAGACAACAGTGTGATGTAACCTCTGACTCAATTAAGTCTATAAATGAAATGATGGCTATACGTAAGGATTCACAGAACTATAGGCTTGGAAATGGTACGGAATTGAAATCATAATTGCATCATTTAAGGAAAAAATATCTACTCAGGAAAAAAAATCTTCAACTCAGCTAAAATGACTGCTTGGTTATTTTAGTTTGAAACTGCCAATTCTGTTTTCGATTGACTATAGTTCGGAGCTTAGTAAATAACCCTTTTACGTTTTATTGTAAATGATTAACAGAAATGAATGATTGAGTAATCTAACTAACATTTGCACAATAATGAGTTAAATGCAATTTACTCTGATACATTGAGCAATTCCCTAGTAATTAAAAACTCCCTAGGGAACGTAGTGCTTTTTAGCATCAAGCAGGATTATTCAATAAAGTGCTCGCCCTGTTAGGGCTTATTTAACGCCATGATTTCAAGTGGGCATCATACCCATTGTACAGCGCTACGGAACCTGGTGGCGCTTTACAAATAATAAAATAATAATAATGAAAATCACTGCAAATGATTTGTGCATCAGCTCTCAGGAACTCAGACAGTTGATATTTGTTCCTAACTTTGCTGTCTGTGTTTCTATTGGCAATGTGAGTGTCACTTTGTATATAGGGAGATATATACAGAGGGTATATTGAAGTGCAAGGATAGACAGAATGTGGCTGACATAGGATAAGAGGTGAATTCCAGGACAGGCCTTTAGGAAGGGGCCTGCGAGGTCTCATCAGTATGATATGTCTGGTCTCGTTTTCTTTCCTGGTGGGTTTTATTTCCTAAACACCTGGATGCAGTCAGACACCTGGCCGGTCCAGACAGAATCCAACAAGTCTTTATGGTGGGATTTGACAAGGAATTCCCTGCAGATCCCTGGACTGTTTGAAGCTGCCCCTTTTAGTTCGGGCTTGTTACATGTTTTCAAGTTACCTGAAACCTGAGAAGAGTATTCTTTTTTTTCTTCCAGTGAGCTATACTAACGTGCTGGGACTGCCAGCCTGGAGCCCAAGTAAAGGATGGAGGGATACAGCAGTGCAAAGCAATACACATATACACATCTCCTGCGTGAATTTAGTACTATAGAATGTACTGATATAATGGAACTACAAACAGCAATACACATATACACATCTCCTGCGTGAATTTAGAACTATATAATGTACTGATATAATGGAACTACAAACAGCAATACACATATACACATCTCTTGCGTGAATTTAGAACTATATAATGTACTGATATAATGGAACTACAAACAGCAATACACATATACACATCTCTTGCGTGAATTTAGAACTATATATAGTACTGATATAATGGAACTACAAACAGCAATACACATATACACATCTCCTGCGTGAATTTAGAACTATATAATGTAGTGATATAATGGAACTACAAACAGCAATACACATATACACATTTCCTGCGTGAATATAATGGAACTACAAACAGCAATACACATATACTCCTGCGTGAATTTAGAACTATATAATGTACTGATATAATGGAACTACAAACAGCTATACACACACACATATACATATACATATATATATACACACACACACTAATCCATAGACTAGACATTATAGAATACATTGTACTGATATAATGTATCTACAAATGGCAATACACATATACACATCTCCTGCGTGAACTTAGTACTATATATTGTACTGATATAATGGAACTACAAACAGCAATACACATATACACATCTCCTGCGTGAATTTAGAACTATATATTGTACTGATATAATGGAATTACAAACAGCAACACACACACACACACACACACACACACACACACACACACACACACATATATACACACACACTAATCCATAGACTAGGCATTATAGAATACAGTGTAATGTAATACATTGTATCAGCATAGAGGTGGGTTAGCACTGATCTGAGAATGTTGGACATTTTAATATAGTGATAACCCTAGATTAGAATACCCAAGATGGAAGAAGTCTACAAATCGTCTCTTTTAATAGCTCCGCTCTTTTAGCCTTAAATATGCGATTTCCTTGTTTCATTTCCGGCTTGATGTAATGTAGTGTTTAATTATTGGCACATAGTGGAGAATTCTATTCACATGGATACCCTCACACATGCAGTAGGTAAGGTACTGGATACAGATATACTCTCTGCTGTGTTTGTAGTGTTTACATACAGACACACACAATCACCAACACAACACAATATGATAAAACAAAAAGTGTGGTGTTGATGCCACATCATAGATAACTTGTTAGGTTTCAAACAGAATATTGGGTTTCATTTCAGAGATACTATCCTCTAAAAGACACATACCTTAGTTAAAAAAAATAAAAAAAAATCTAAAAAGTTTATTTGAACGTTGGAAGTTTGAAATGAGTAGAAATCCGGAGATAGACTGGAATCCCTAAATGTGCACAATACAGAGACTATAAAAATGATATAATAGCCTTATAGCACAGGTAATATGCATATATACAATCAGTGTATTAGAATGATTTGTGTATATCCACATTCATTCCCTGACCAGTGTGCTTTTAGACAGGCCACAGGCTGGCTAGGTGGGCCATTTGCCATAATGTGTGTTTCTATATTGTAGGGATAGAATAGCACTTACGTCGATTTTCTGTAGTTTCTGCGTATATATCGATAGACACATAAACCCCTGTCCCTGTACTTGTAGCGTGTGAGCAGATTTAAACGATCCTGAACACAATATTACTAATTTAATTATGGAAACTTCTGAAATCTTGGTGTAGCCGACCAGACATCGCATTGCCCCCTAGCAGTGGCAGGGTTAATACGCATGATGGGAGTTGCAATCCACAATATAACTGGAAGTAGCATTGTTGATTGTCTGCGGAGATTTCAACTCCAAATGACCTCTTATTACATAAATACTGAACATTTTGAGGAAGCTTAAAACTTCCCCCCCTGCGGGGTATATATGTGCTGACTCACATTTCATGTCTGAGAAAATATGAATTGCTTCATCCTGGGCTAGAACACCTATAGGAATCCAGGGACCTAGATAACAGATAGCATAGGATCACATCGACTTTCTTCCGTTTACTAGGGGCTTGTACCCCCTCCTCCCACACACACAGTAGTAAAACTTGTACATTTAAAAAAGTAAAATTGTATTAACTTTGAAGAACGAGTAATTCGTTTAAAACCACCGTGAATTAACTGCCTTCAATAAGGGCAACAATGATGTGAAATAATGTTGTTGCCCAGTCCCCTGACAGCAAATAGTTAAAATATTAACATGAATTTTATTGGAAAACGCACCGGTTAGCAACTGCTTGATATATGCTTGTTGTATCTATGTCATACAAACACAATATTCCTATACTTATTATTTGCATGTAATATGTGTGGATTATTTAGTAAAAAATAAATAAAGTGAGATCATTCAGCGCTATTAAGTAACAATGGAACCCCTTGCGACTTATTAACTCAAGTCATATTGATCAATGCATCAAAGGTATCTGTTAGGAGATCTGAGAAATAAGAATCAGTATAGTGTGTTTTGACCCATCCCCACACACCAAACCATTGTAAATCTTAATTTAGCCCATTTATTAAACAATAAAGTTAAAAAAAAAAAAAGAAAACAGAACAAAATTTGTAAATTCATGAAAATACTATGTGCAGTTTTATTAAGTACAAGTAACACTTCCCAAAAATAGGAAGAAATTTTAAGAGCATAAATTCCATGTCTTTGGCATCATATGAAACCATTATTTCGTGTACAAAACGAAATATAAAAATGTAATCGTATAATACATTCAATATGTGCATTCAATATGAACATCTCCCATTTACAGACCAGTCCTCATTATACAAAATGATGGCTTACTCTATAAAACTAGTATGGCTTCCTATAAGAAAGTCCTTCAAAGTTCATTCTTCCTCACCAAGGTCTCCACACTGAGTCTGCATTGACTGAGGGCATTACAGAGGGCGACACTGCGCTTGGTGGTAGTCCATTGCCCACACTGGAGTTGGTGTACACTGGGATTACAGATCCGTTGTGTGGAAAGGCTGAGTTTGCGATCAAAAAGGCAAACTGTCCATCTGAGGCTGGCACCAGCTGGAAGCCACCATAGACTTTGCCAGCTTCTACAGGAGGACCACCCATCTTGCATGGAACCCCACCCAAAGGAGCAGGGCTGACTTGAGGAGCACCTCCTGGGAGCTGGACCAAGGGCTGTCCAAAAGTGGAGTGTGCTCCAGCTGTGGTTGGGATCTGGGGCTGTGTGGGGTAGTTCATGGCGTTGATCTGGTTCATGCAGTTAGCCAGATGTCCCAAGAGTCTGGTTCTCACGTCGGTGTTGACTCCTTCACAAGTAGACAGGAACCTTGTAACTTCATTCATGCACTCGCTGAATCCAGCTCTGTATTTCCCAAGTACTGATGGGTCTGTACTTAGAGCAGCTAGAAGAAACAAAGCGACGTTCGATTAGTACATTGTATCAAGAACCACAATATAAATCACATGTTTAGAACATTGCATTATATGTATCTCTGAGGCAATGTGTATTAATATCTATCATATTAAACAGTGATAGAACTCATATGATTTTCTGATCAGCCACTAATAGCAAGTCTATTACACCCCGAACCTGGAAACTTTGCTAAACTGGTTTAATATTTGTGCAGTAAGTGTTCCCCATACAGCCTGATATACTGAGATAAATCCGATTACCTCCCCGCAGTACCCACCCCTCCCTTCCCTGAGCAGTAACATGAGCTTCATGCTGCAGCTATAAATAATCCCAGACCGTGGGAAAGGCACAGAGAGCCAGCCCAGTAGAATGTATCTGAATGCCATTCAAAACCGCAGGCGGAAGTCTGGAAAAGATCAACCAGGGAGATGGGGGGGAAAAGTACACACACAGCACTCACCAGTCATCTGAACTCTCTGCAGGTTCCGAAGATGCTTCACTGTCATCTCCAAGATATCAGCCTTCTCCAGTTTGGAGTGTCTGGAGCTCTGCAAACGCAAGAGAGGGGGTTAGCACTTCCAATAAATAGATCATGATTTTCATTACATTCTAAACACATGTGTAACTTTATTTATAATATAGGGGATGGATTTTAGGAAACAGAGGAATTATCTTGGACATTAGTATCTGTGAATAGCAACTCCCAGCACGCTGGGTACAATTATAGAGCTGGTTTGTTGACAGTTGCAGTCCCTAGAAACCATGTGTCCTAGGGAATATATTTCTCCCTCTGGATAAGATTTTTTTTTTTTTTTAAATGCAATGTTCAAGCAGTGTGAAGATACACTTACATCTTTTTTCAAGGCATCCAAGATGAGGGTTTTGAGCTGGCTCAGACTCTCATTAATCCTTGCCCTCCTTCTCTTCTCCATTATCGGTTTGGAAGACTGCAAACAAGAAAAAGACACACAGTGAGTGTGTAAATCAGCACAAGAAACACTTGAGGTGTAGATTTAAAAAACAAAAATAAAATAAATTATATTTGAATTCTAGCCCAAACTTTCATTTACCTTTCTGTGTTCAGATGCAGTTTTGGGTTTATCCGGGGTGCTGGTCATGCTGGCTGCGGTAGCAGCCACGGGTGAAGAAGAATTTTTCTCCATCATATCAGCTGGCATTTTCTCCAAATCAAAAGGATTTTTTTTTTTTTTGATAACCCCCAAAAATGTCAAATTCCCAAATATAAAAAAAAGAGTCCAGGTTTAGAGAAATTGTGTATTTGTATTGAAATAAAGAGCAAATATCCAAGGGTAAAGAAAAGCAAAGTTTCCAGGGGTGAGCAATCCTGCTCTGGTTGTCTGGCTGGATGCCCTGAGTGCTAGTGAGCTGCCCTTTGCTTGGCTCCGGCTTTATATAGCGCTAACTGCACGCGAACGGCTCGTGTGAAACTTCCCAAACTTTCTTTCCCACAGTAACTTTCAGCCAATGGGAGAAGGGCACACGCGTGGGCTGCGCCAGGCCATTGGATGCAGGGCGTGGGCAACGCCGGCCAATGGCAATCAATAGCGACAGAAATGGGCGGAGCAATAGTCACTACCTGTCAGTCAAGCTACAAGACCGTTAACCCTTTGTGTGTAGAGGTTGTAGCCTGAAGGGGCTAGCTCAACGTTCTGTTTGGAATGTATTAGAATATCAATACTTGCACATCAGCTTTGTATAAATGCAAGTAAATGACTTTTCAGTGTTCCAATCATTACATGTAACAATGAAGTAGTTATATAAACATTTACTAATTATTGTTTATTTTAATTAAATCATAGCAGGTCCGTTGGGATTCTGTATGTATGCACAAAATAAAAAATTGTAATTATTTACCCATTATTCAAACATGCCACTTTATTTCTTATTTTGCATCAAAAGGAAAGAAATATCTGGGGGGGTTTTCCCCAATTTAGATTATTTTTTTTTAAACTTAGGTTATTATGTAACTTTCTCATTTCTGGCCACTTAAGGTCTGTTCGTTAAATATCTATATTCAAATTCAGGCTCATAAAAGCTACTTTAGAAATAAAACTCTCCAACTCAGCTTTAAGCTATTTCCATTCGTTACAATATGAGGGAACTCTAAATTGTGTATCCTCTATGTGTAGAGGAATAATATGATAAATATCTATCTGTGGAATGTTTTCAGATGAAATGGAGACATTGTATTTGGACATTGTAGTTTAATTATTTATTTTCCTTAAACAATTAGATTAGCGGGCGAACCAAGAAAATTACTATAGATATATATTGGGTAAACCCACCAAAGAAACTAGTTGAAACGAATAACAACTCACAAGTCACTCAGTCAGTCTCTGTTAAATAACTCGTGGGAAAGACACTGTAAGCATTAGTTTTAGCTGTGTGAACTAAATAAAATATATATTATTTATATTTGTCATCATATGTTACACAGTTAGTTTGGAACACTACTTAACAAGACTAAAGGAAAAAAATAATTGTGAATAAAAGTTCACTTTACTGGTATGACCTGTAGAACACTGATAGATGATGACAGGCAGTGAGATGTATGATAGAGATATATTCACAATCTCACTCTGTGTGCTTAGTGAGAGCAGGGTGTGTGTCCCTTTAAGGCTAGGAGCAGCTAGAGGGGCAGCCTGACTCCTGTCGGCCTCCGAGGGCTGATGCTGGAGCACGTGCCAGGATGTTTTATTGCTGCTGCGGCTGAGGTTGGGCGGCTGGATGTGCGTGGGGAGGAGGGGGGGAGAGATGGTTTAGATTATGCCGAGAGAAGGCAAATAGCAGCTGCTGCCCTGAAGCCTGGGAAAACCACTCCCACCTCGAGATAGATCAGGCTCATTGGAGGGAGTAGTGAGCTGTAAAAAGAATGCATCATCCCAGAATGGCCTATAGGTGGCGCTCACTGGCTGTTCACTGGCCTACAACCCAGGGAATTAGTGTATTATATAGGAATAACAAGACAGAGGCAGCATACAAGGCATTGAAGGCAAGCAGTTTCTGTGTGTTGGACAGGAAAGTGTTTCGTATTAACTACACAGGACCATAAACTAAACTGGGAGATACATTATCAAACTGCTATTTTATTCATAAGCAGAACATCAGGGAATAGCCATTTAGTTTTCTAGGATGCTGTATCGCAAAGGTTAGTCATCATTGCTACCCTATCTCTGCTGGGAGGTCATGCTATGCAATTCAATCTCACACAATCCAGTTACAAAAGCTGTTTTAAGCAAACTCAAGGCAGGAAACGCTTATGTAAAACAATAGGCATGTTTATTAGAAAGATATATAGACATATTTTCTTTCCCTGACAGTTAACTGTTTGTGTTAGAATAAGATATCCAGCAAATCCTGATACAATTGAGCACCGATCTACACATAGTCATGGTGTCACTCTATTATATTTATAACACTACATTATAATTTAGAGCTACTTGGAGAGAGATATTGTTTTCTTTAATGCTAATTTTTTTTATCATAATTTCTTTTGACACAGACTACCAAGCTAGTCTGGACCACTTTATAAGAGGAAATCAATTGATCCATACAGTTAAATCATTATCCAGATCAATAAATCCCATGCGATCTAAAATGTATCCTTATGCAAAGGCACATCCGGTTATGAAGATGAGTGAAACACTATTGCAATTTACCCCATTAATTTTGATATTTAACAGCTGGCCTTACACCTTAGACAAAAAGATTAATAGTGATATCTGTTATATTACAATGTCTCAATTTAATGGAAGCCTGTAGTTTACATTTGTCACACATTATCATTAGATGTGATATAGTCACATGGATTAATGGGTAATCACGGTAAAGAAAAGTTTGCTCATGATATGTAATGATGCAGAGGTCACACTGTGAGTAGAGCTTTAGACGTCAAGAAAGTTGTTACTTACAGAAAGACTGGGTGCTGGGTTAATGCTCACCAGAAGAATACACTGAGCTATAAATTTATACATGATAAAATGAACTTTAAATCTTTACCTGACACAAATGATTAATAAGGTAATAGCCTGGTAAAAATCAAATATCTTATCTTGGATCCATTTTTACTCAGAGAGATCAGATCATATTTTTAGAGCTCATATTCCAGAAAACTAGTGCTTAGGGTGTGGTAGCTTAATTTGCATTGGGTCAAGGAATGCCAGATTTACTTGTTTTGTATTATTTTTTTTTTACTGAAAACGAATTAATTTTTTTTCCAGTGAGTCTTTAAAGTGCTGCTTCATGTTATATTGCAATATTCACATGGTCCACATGTGAAAATAATCATAATAATAATCATTCATGACTATAATGAGCAAAATGACATTCCATGATTAAAGGAACACTATGATCACCCAAACTAATTATTCTCAGTGAAGTGGTCAACAAGGTGCAGTGGCCCTGTCAGTTTATAGAGACAAGCATCATTTAAAAAAATTGTTATCATGATTGGCATTTATATAGCGCTATCTTATTGTGCAGTGCTTAACAATATTATGACAGGAGGGTAATTTAACAAAATATGAGACATTTGCAAAACAATACAGAAAGAATAGGTAGATGAGGACCCTGCTCATCATGCACACAAGGACCCTTACAGTCTAGAGGAGGTGGGGTGTAAAAATAGGGCAGCAAGGGGCACAGCAAACAAACAAGGTGGGAAAGTAGCAAAACTGGAGGTTAGAATGGAGTGTGGGTCTTTAGGAGAGAGCCAGAGACAGATATGTGACATTTACTCTGGGAGGCTATAAGCATTTCTGAATAGATGGGTTTTGAGGGACTTCTTTAATGATTGATGACAAGGGAAGAGTCTATTGGGGGTAGGCACGCTGTACCAAAGGAAAGGAGCCAACCATGAAAAATCCTTCAAAGTAAGTTAGCAGTAAGGGTGCGAGCAGCGGACAGGAGAAGGTCACCGGCACAGCGGAAAGACCGAGAAGTGGCATACCTACAAATCAGTGAAGATATGTAACAGGGCCTATAGTTGTTTAGAGCTTTATAGGTAAGGGTTAGTGTTTTGAACTGACACCTACAGCATACAGGAAGCCAATGTAAGGATCAACAGAGGGGTGAGGTATGGGAGGAGCGACAGGTGAGATAGATCAGCCTGGCTGCAGGATTGATTACTAACTGTAGTGGGGTAGTTCAGCTTCTGGGAAGACCAACTAGGAAAGAATTACAGTAATCCATGTGATTACCAGAGCATACACAAGCTCCTTGGCAGCATCTTGCATAAGAAAGGGGCAGATGCGGGCAGTGTTTTTAAGGTGGAATTGACAGGTTTTAGCAACTATCTCATTTAAAAGCTTTAGCTTCAAATCAGTTGCCTCACTCTGCAGCCTGAAAAAAACAAATAACATTACATTTTCATATTTGCCTGCTTTTTCTTTCTTATGCTTTTCATGCCCACTGCAGGGGAACTCTGATCTAACCAATTGGTCCTATCCTGTAGAATGCTGGAAAAGTGCATTGGGCGAGCCTACCAGATTTATACACATGCAATTGAAAGATCTCTTCACCTTGGAACATTCTGACAGGGGAAGAAGAGAGTGAGTCTGATCAGTGTAAATATTGCAGCGCAGGCTATTGGGCTATTGCCTATTCCATATGATTGGTTACTTCCACAGTACACAAAAGTTATATCAGAAGGCTTGGCTTCAAATGTTGGGGGGGACAACATTGTGAAAAACCTTTGATACACACCAATGGGATGATACCCAAAGGCTGTAGAAGCTATGCCACAGAGATAACCCCTTTAATATTTGATATCATGGGTTCCTCTATAAACAAACATACTAAAAAAAAAAAACTGATACATAATTTTGGCCTTAATAATTCTTATGTTAAATATTAAAAATATTTATATTTTGCCAATATATCACATTTCAGTTTTCAGTACTCTACTGTGATGAATTGAAAGTGGAATTTTAACAATTCAGGCAAAAGCACAAAGCAGTGATCATGGGAATATGAGTTGGAGTGTTGTTCCAACTTTGCACTTTTGTTATTCCATTTTGCAAATTCTTATTCATTTCACCACATTCCATTGTTTAGCAAACAATAAACTGTGTGTTGAACAAACAATATACAATCATTAGTTAAGAAGCAGAAAGAACCACATGCCATTTACGTAAATGTTTATTTGTTTAACTGGCAAATCTTTATTTAACTGATACACATTGTAGTAGAGGCAGGGGAGGGTTGGCAACTTTTGGCCTGTGGGAGTGCAACACATGGAGTGCTTTTTTACAACCACAACTCAAAAAAGTGATTTGTGTGTGGATGGTTTTACTAGTGCAGATCATGCAATATATGAGTTTGACATGTGGATGTTGCTGCAGTTACGAGTTGCAAAATTACAAATCCGTGCAATCTTCATCAGTTTAAGGGATCATTCACAAAAATGAGTTCAAGCCTAAGTTTGTCTGTTTCTTGTGATTCCATGGACCTAAATCTCCTCTCACTATACAACCACTTACAAACACCTCAACAGACACCATGCATACTCCTCATAACCTGGCCAGTTCTGCCCTAGAAACTACATTGTATAGGGTAATAGCAGGACAGTCTAAGACTCGAGAGCAATGGGATTGTTTGGTCAACAGCAAAGAAGAGATATACACAGAACTGTGTTAAGAGTAAGTTTCTAAAGGAAATAAATGACTGATTCAATGCAGTTGCAATATTATTTAACAATGTAGCACATTTCTTGCAAGATTGTTTATTTGTTTTTCTTGAAATTAAGTGACACTTTTCAGCCACACCCCATGTAAAACAGTTGGCATTTTCATGGAGACAAACGGGAACACTGTTATCAATCTAAATAACAGCTTGTTAACCCCCTAGGGGCTTTCCATTAAATCCTGGCAAAACAATGTTAAGTACTCCTGTATAGATAATAGATATAAATTTACATAGTAACTGCTTCACTATTGTTATCAAAATATTTCTCCACATACACAAAATGATTGCTAGAGCTATTATGTTTTAGGAAAACTATTGCCCTGCAATATGAATAATTCAAATAGTGCAGTAGAGAAATAAAGCAGATTATTTAGAATCCCTTCTTGATTAAAGAGTGTCAATAACGTCTTTGGAACTGACAATTCCTTGTTCTTTCACCCCAGTAAATGGGTAAAGCACAGCCTCTTCTATTGTAGAGTAGGCAGTCCTGTATCTGTCTGGCATTTCAATTGAGAATGAAAAGAACAAACTATTGAGATTTAAAATAAACTAATAATACAATCAATAGCAAACTTTTAGTGCAAAAAGCTCATACATATATTTCTCTTTTGTAGCATTTAAACCGGGACATTGCAGGGGAGCACTTTATATAAACGTCCCTACAGCGTGTTAAAGGTATGTGTTCTTGCAGAGCCACATTACTCATAATTACCCATTATATTGTTGCCTAGGGCCCAGGTGTAGACCTGTGAGAAACCATCTAGACATGGAGCTCCAGTCCTAGCTGTGAGGGGCCCTTTTTAAAAGGTAGGTAGATTAAAAATATCTCCCTACTCAACCATGTGTCCTCTCACCTGCTTAAAGGACCACTCTAGGCACCCAGACCACTTCAGCTTAATGAAGTGGTCTGGGTGCCAGGTCCAGCAAGGGTTAACCCATTTTTTAATAAACATAGCAGTTTCAGAGAAACTGCTATGTTTATTAATGGGTTAAGCCTTCCCCCAAAGCCTCTAGTGGCTGTTTCATTGACAGCCACTAGAGGCGCTTGCGTGCTTCTCACTGTGATTTTCACAGTGAGAGCACGCCAGCGTCCATAGGAAAGCATTGTAAATGCTTTCCTATGCGACCGGCTGAATGCGCGTGCAGCTCTTGCCGCGCGTGCGCATTCAGCCGACGGGGCGGAACGGAGGAGGAGAGAAGGAGGAGAGCTCTCCGCCCAGCGCCGCTGGAAAAAGGTACGTTTAAACCCATTTCCCCTTTCCAGAGCCGCGCGGTAGGGGGTCCCTGAGGGTGGGGGCACCCTCAGGGCACTATAGTGCCAGGAAAATGAGTATGTTTTCCTGGCACTATAGTGGTCCTTTAAGGGAGCTTTGTGTTGTGCATGACGATCAGCTGCAGATCACTTTAAAAGCTCTCTCGAAGCTCTCCAGTGCTTCTCATTGACTAAGAGCACAGCAGCCAGAGCTCTAAGTTATTAACTCAGCTCTGAGTCTTGAAGAAGCTCTTAAAGGGACACTCAGTTACTGAAGAGTGTGTCCTATTTAATTTTTATTTTACAAAAAATGCAGATTTCAGTAGAAAATTTCACTTTTATAAATTAACCTTGTTACACTCAATGTCTCTCAATCATACAACCAGTCCTGTTGCTTCTTAGTTGTTTAGCTTAGTAAAGCTAAACTGAAGAGGCAGACAATTGCCCAGAGCACCTGCCTTGCAAAGACTTATCATTGAACTGTATTGAGAAGTCTGAGATTGGACAGCCACATAAAGTCTGGGCTTGGGAAGAGATCGGCAGCTTTTGCAAGCTGTTTCTATATGTATTCCCAAAGAAATAATGCTTAATTAAAAACATGCATGTTTTCTTCTGGGGATTATGTACTACACAATGAATTTTGTATTTTATTTGGGCAGTGGAGTGTCCCTTTGACCACTTCACAACATTAGGATGTTCCATTACATCCTAATTAAACTAGAATTTAATGCCATTAGGATGTATTAACACATTCTAACATTTGGTGTAAGCAGAGATGAATCCCTGCTCACATCAGGGAGTCCCAGGTATTACTAGATTTATACATAATTAAATACCTGGCGCTCCTGTTTGTTAGCTGGAGCCATTTTTAGTGGCCCCAGACTGACAGATGAGCAGCATGCTGTTACAATCAATTTAAATGCCCATTGCCACAACGGGATGTGAGCAGGGTTCAATCAGGGTATCAACTGGGGCTAAATTTAGTGACCCAGGCTGACTTATAAACTATACATCGGGCTCAAAGTGAGCGTTGCATATAGCCCTTTAAATCCATTAAGAAAACTGTTGCTGAGCACTCAACTGCTGTGATTCCATTTGTGATTGATGCTGCGCTTTGCCAGCTTCCCAGCACTGATCACAATATAATCGGCATGTCTAATTTTTAGCATTACAAGGATATCTCTACTGTTTAACTTAAATGATATCTGCCCCAGCTTGAGAAAGATCCCTTGTGGGATCGAAACGTTGTACTCTGTTCCATTAAACCTGCTGCACTGATCCTTGAGTGCCAGGACTATAATTTGTGTTCAACTATCACAGGAGGGGTAGTCAGCCCCAGGTCTGGTTGCACCAGGATTGTAATAAGTGTGCGGTGTTCCTCTCTTTTTTTGTTTATACATAGCGAGACATTTTATAATCAGGGCTGATATTTTATGCTATTTTTAGTTAGTTGCATTGTATGTGTAAAAATTATAAGCAAAATTGTGGGTAAAAATGCCCTTTTCCCATTTTTAACATTTTATTATCACATAATGTTGTTACACATACATATAGGATTTAAAAAAAAAAATTTTTCCATCTTCTAAAAAGAAACTATATAAAATATGCATTGGAGCATTTAAAGAGAAACCCTTAAATTACGATTGTACAAACAAGTGCAAATTCTAGAATTTAATTTGGTTCAGAACTTGGACAATTACCTACATCCCAATAACATGCAGACCACAATAGCCCCTTGAACACCAAGCACAGGTAAGCACAAAATTCAGCCCCATCATACACGCATACACTGCTCCAAACACAAAATTCAGCCACCTCACACACACACTGCTCCAAACACAAAATGTACCCCCCTCACACACACTGCTCCAAACACAAAATTCAACCCCATCACACACACACTGCTCCAAACACAAAATTTAGCACTCATAAACACACACCACTCATTTAGCACTCAGCATTCTCCACACAGAACACTCAGTTTCTCACACAAACACAGAACTTTAGTGAGGTGGTTCCAATGTGGCATTCTGCCTGGGGCCCTGGGCAACCTTAATCTGGCTCTGATTCCAGGAAATCTTATAACTGGACAGATAACAGTCTCATTCAGTTAATGTGACCACAGACACTTAAGTAGATAATAGAATTAGCATGTCTATGGCTGTAAACACATTTCCGTTATGGGTGTGAAGGAGACAAACACAACCTGTGCCGCTGCTATATCTGAGCCGTGTACACACAGTCCTGAGAGGACAATGAAAGGACAATGGGCCCGTGGCCTATCAGACGCCACCAAACTGATAACAACGCTACTGCTACAGCAGAACC